CAACACACACACACCACTGTACCTCCCTCATGTACACACCAACAACACACACACACCACTGTACCTCCCTCATGTGCACACCATCAACACACACACACCACTGTACCTCCCTCATGTGCACACCATCAACACACACACACCACTGTACCTCCCTCATTGGCACACCATTAACATACACTATTGAAGGAAGCTCTAGTTTTAGGCTGGGCAGGCACTGCAAACCTGTAATCTCCAAGCTTGGGAGGTAGAAGCAGGAGGATCATATGTTCAAGGGATCCTTAGTGAGAACACCCTGCCCTGGGCTCCCTGGGGTTTCAGATGTGCCGCTCCCACACCCAGTGTAAGCAGTGGTAGGACTGGGACCCAGGAAACTAGATGGTAGTGTCAGGGCTTGGTGTGGTGGGCCTTTGGTTCAATCCTCTCTATAGAAGAACCACACAGCATAGTAGAGGTCAGCCTGGGTTACAGAAGATCCTTTCTTGTTAAAAACTCCACCCATGCCCACAATATAGTCTTTTTTTATTTTTTGGTTTTTTGAGATAGGGTTTCTCTGTGTAGCCCTGGCTGTCCTGGAACTCACTCTGTAGACCAGGCTGGCCTTGAACTCAGAAATCTGCCTGCCTCTGTCTCCCAAGTGCTGGGATTAAAGGTGTGTGCTACCACCACCTGGCCACAATATAGTCTTAATGATCTTCTGCTGGTCACCTTTCAAGCTGCTGCCATTCTCCCATCTACAGGTAAGTTATGGACTTTGAAGACTACTCAAACAACAGTTGTGACTTCTTGACCCAGAAGCCACCCCCTTCTCCTGTGCCATGCAGACTCCTACCTCAAGGCATTTACATTTTGTGAAGGGAAGAGTCAAAGCAGATTATTTAAGATGGCTGACTCCCTTTGTTAGCCTTAGAGTTTGTGAGGCACAGTTATGATTTCCAGGGAGTGGGGCTCAGGCAAGTGTTTTAAAAAATGTTCCTGGGGCCTGGGGATGAAGATGGGGAAGGAGCTGGAGTTCAGCTGGCTTGCCAAGGGTAGGAATCCCTGAGTCCTGGTCCTATCACTGCTTACACTGGGTGTCAGGGGGCGGCATATCTGAAATCCCAGGACTGGGAGCTCAGGGCAGGGTGTTCTCAAAATGGAAACCAGTTTGGGAAACTCGGGGAATCTTTACGTTTAAGTAAGGCAAGGAAAGAGGACTAGAACACAGTGTCAGGGTTTGGTGTGGGTGGGCCTTTGGTTCAATTCTCACTATGGGAAGACAGAAGAGAAAAATGCTTCTCAGGTGATTCTAATATAATTCAGTTGACAGCTGCACTTAAAATGTCAACTCCTGATCCCAGGGATAATGAAGGTACTTAATAAATGCTGTTCCCTAGACTGAAGTAGACAAGTCTGGACGGTAAGGGAGGAGGCAACAGGACGCACACCACCGAGCACAGCGTGGAAGAGCTGGGGAGGAGTCCTGTCAGTACAACTGCAGCAGTTACATCTACATGTTTCCAGGAACTCAAGGCCAGGAACTCTACTCTCATCTCTTGGCACTGAGCGCCATGCACACTACATTACTAGCGTGCTCAATAAACTTTATTTATTGGCACTGATAATAAACAAAGGTACAATACTTCAGGAACACAAACAGGGGAGTGACCAGTACTAGGGAGGCAGAGGCTAGTGAATACCTGTGAGTCTGAAGCTAGCCTGGTCTACACAGAGAATTCCAGCCCAGAAAGGACTAATACTAAGACTCTGTCCTTTTATTTATGATTCATCTGTGTGTGTGTGTGTGTTCCTGTTCCGATATCAATATCTGAACAGGATTCAGTCCTCTCTTCCTGGTGGGCTCCTAGGACTTCATTCAAATCCTCAGGCTGGCAACAAGCAGCCCAACCCGCCAAGGTTTCTGTGGGATGACCAGCTTGGAGGGCTGGATATACTGAATTATTGCGCTGAAGTGACAAGAACTCTCCAGCAGAGGGAGTTCAGGTACCTTGAGATAGGAATGAACGCGAAGCAAACACATCCTTTCCCTGAGGTTGGAAGTCAAACTGGGTGAGAAAAATGTCAGGGACGCAAGCCTCCCACCTGAGTAAGCAAAACTGTAAGCAACCAAAATGGGGTCTCAAAGTGAATGTAAAACTACGGGCTTCAGTAGTTTTTGTTCTTGTTTTTTGGTGGGTTTTTTTTTTCCCAAAACGAGGTTCTAGTGACAGCATCAAAGACAAGGAAATGACACTCCAGGAAAGAAGCTTAACTAATGGCTTTCGTCCTAGCTGACATCTCCAAAGTCGTGTCCTCCTTAGGCAAGAGGACTGAACCCTGCCTACGAAGACCCCAACGTTTGTGAATCCCGACTCCTGACGACCTCCAGGCGCCGTGTCCCCGAGAAAGCTTATGCTCTGCTCTCGGAACTCGGAGATCCTGGCCCCAAGGTCCCTTCCCTACCCCATGCTCAGAGTTCGCAGAGACTCCGCTAATACGCGGCTGGTGCTCGGCGCGCTCGACCGGGAGCAGGGTCAGAACGCGCGTGCGCGCCGGGAGCCCCGCCCCCGCCCTTCAACCGCGCGGCGGGAAGGTGGCCGCTCGCTGCCCCGCTGCTCGCCGCCTCGCCGCCCCGCCGCCTCGGGCATGCCTGTTGTCAGCCCTGAGTCCGACCGACACTCACCCGCTCTACGCGAGTCCTCTGAAGCCTCGCAGAGCCAGCGGCCCTGAGGTGCAGGGGGTCGCAGCCTTTCCCGCCACTCGGCCGGGAGCGACCAGTCCGCGCCTGCGCGGGCGGGAATGGGGGCGGGGCCAGCGAGCCGGGGCGGGGCGAGCCGGGCGGAGCCACTGGACTCCGGTCGAGAGGAGAGGGAAGATTGGATAAGAAGGGAAACCCAAAAGGACCATTTTTATGTGAGTCGGACATCTTCGCTAAAGTAAAAACCAAAACGCTATGGGTTTTCTACTGAATTATAATAAGAATCAAGATTGAATTAAGGGAGAATTTACAGACGTTCTTCCCCTTCCAGTCAAGTGGACTATTCCAAAGTCTTAAATGGCTAGTTAGAAAAGATGTGTTTTATTTGGGAGGAAGTGCAGAGTTTGGTGTTTGGGGTGGAGTTTAGGGTTGTCCGCCTTCTTATAGGCGTATGTTTAAAGCTTGCAAAGTATATACAAGGAGGCTTAGAATAGAAATATCTGCAATGAATATTCCTTGTTCGTTCGGGGTCACCTGCGCCCCTGCTGAGACGATGCTATTTTACCAACAAATACAAGATAGGGTTAAAAAAAAGAAAAATCATCTCCGAATTTAAGCATTTAGATAGAGGAGATCGATATCTGGGCCATGAGGGAGAGTTAGCAGAAAGGATAGCTGGGAGAAAAGTGAAAAGACGTACAAAAATAGAAGACTATGGAGCTAGTGATAAAAGTACAGAGATGCCATTTGCAAAGTTCAGTTTGCTCTAAATAAAATCCCTCATCTTGCCCCTCAACTCCTGTAAATTTGCTTCAGACACCAGATTTCATAGTTTAGCCTCAAAGAGCAATTCTGGGCTTCAGTGCTGTTTATCCAGGGCTATTAGGCAGGGCCTTTTAAACCATTTCATTTTTCTAGACTCTAGACTTGCCTGACCCCTGCTTCTGTTGGAAGGTCCATAGTCGATGGAATGAACACGCAGCCTAGCCTAGTGGATGTTGGCAGGCTTATGTGACTTTACAGAACAACTCAAGCCCCGTGTTTACCTTTCTCAGAGCTTCTACCCCAGTCTCTGGGACAAGCATCCCTGAAATCAGTAGGCTACAGTCTCCCATTAACTCCCTCAAAACTTAGTAGTAGTGATCTGGAAATAAGATTCCTCTCCCCAGACCTCCCCCCAACCCCTGGAATGCCTTGCCTCCCCCTTTCTGTCTGCTTCCTGAGAGGAATGACCCCCCTCCCTGCCCTCCAAACCCCTCCCCCCGTCTTCTGTGACCCCTCAAAAATCAAGATGCATATACTTCACTGGAAGCAGGGTAAAGGCCAGAAACTTAAGGTCTTGGGTTCCCTGTGCTCACCAAACTGGAGTGGGGAAGGACATACATGTTGACACCTCTTTCCCCTTCCCTAGCTTCTGTGCCCGCAAACTCAGACACGGCCACACGCACCCACATTCATATGAACAGTCGTGCACACACGGCGAAGGTAGCTGGAGCGGGGAGGAAGGGAAGTTTGCACCAACCAGTCGTGAATGCAACTTGAAAGATTTCACACAGCAAAAGGAAAAAAATGAAAAAAACATAAGTTAAAAAATAAAGAAGTACATGCCCCTCCCCACAGTCTCTTTCTTCATCCAAGGGCTGGCTTAGCCCTCCCTGAAACCCAGCGGCTTTCTACATCTCTCTCCAACTGGAGCTTTTACAGGGCCTGAGTCTTCAGTTCGACAGGTTCCCCTGTACCCTCTGGCTGTCCATTGGAGTCACTGGGTCTGGCTCCCTTGAGGATAGACAGTCTCTCAGAAACACTCTTGAGACGGGGGAAGAGGAGAAAGTCATAGAGTAGGCTGCCCAGGCCCCCTCCAATGATTGGGCCCACCCAGTACACCTGTGGGAAGAGAGAAGGCATGTTCAGGCTTCGGGACTCTTCAGGAGGAAAACAACATATCCTGCTCTCTCATGGGACACAACTAGGCATTAGTAAAAGTTAATGTAGCTTGTTGCTGCTGCTGCCGTATTTGGGGCTCTTCATGTGAAGCACGTGGACTTGGTTGGTTGGTTTTAGAGTTATAGACTCAGTGGGGCTGCAGAATGACTCAGATCAATTGCTGTCCTTGCAGGGGACCCTAGACCAATTCCCAGCATCCACGTGGCACCTCACAACCATCTGTAACTCCAGTTCCCAGGGATCTAAATGCTCAATGTGGTCTCCAAAGGCACTAGGCAGGCACAAAGTGTACAGACATATATGTAAAACACCTATATATGTTAGAAAATAAAATACAGCTTGGCATGGTGGCGCTCACCTTTAATGCCAGCAATAGTGAGACAAAACCAAGAGGTTCTGTGGGAGTTCAAAGCCAGCCTGATCTACACAGCAAGTTCTAGGCTGTCAAGGTTACCTAGTGAGAACTGTCTCAAGACAACAGAAGACCCAGAATAAAACAAAACAAAAATTAAATTGTTTTTAAAAAAACCAAACAAACCTGGACTCTGCTGTCTATATCCTAACACCTGTCACTTTCTTCCGGTTCACTAATCATTTTATTTTCTTATCCCTTCATCCTACCTCTACCCCCTTAGTGTACATATATTCTATCTGTTGTCATTTTAAACTAGTTTATGTATTCCTCAGAGGAAAAAAAAAATAAGTCGTGGCAAGATACCCTTTATAACATAAAATTTACCTTACTAATAAGCATTGTTTATATTACTTTGCTTAATGCAGGATCTCATTAGCTCAGGATGACCCCAAACAGGCTGTATAGTCAAAGATGACGTTGAACCCCTGATCCTCTGGCCCTCCCAAGTGCTGGAATAACGGGCATGCACCACTATTGGAATGTATTCAGTATCGGGGAGTGAACTCAGCTTTGTGCTCCTTAGGCAAGCAGGGTACCCACTGAGCAGCGTCCCCAGAACGGGCTGAGTTTGTTTGTTTGTTTGTTTGTTTGTTTGTTTGTTTTGAGACAGGGTTATTTTTGTAGCTCTGGCTGTCCTGGAACTTGGTCTACAGAGCAAGTTCAAAATCAGAGACCCCCGTCTCTGGCTCTAGATCGCTCGGATAGGAATTGTGCACCACCACATCCGGCTCTGCAGAACTGTGTGTGCTTGAGACACTCTGGTAGCCTAAGCTGATGTCAAAGTCACTGTGCAACCCAGCCCAGCCTCAAACTCAAGGCGGCTCTTCGCAGTTGTCCTGAGTTCTGTGTATGATCAGCACACGCCAATGTGCCCGAGTATTAACATTTCTGAAGTGTACGCATGGCTTGATAGGATTGAATGTATCCACATTGTTGTGTCACTCATTCCCAGGATGTTTTGAGTTTATAAAATTAAAGCTATACAGCCATCAAACCGCCTGTCTGACCCCCACTTCAGCCCCTGACAACCTTCTCCTCTCTGTTCCTAGCGATTTGTATTTTTTTCTTTCCTTCTTTCTTCTTTTCTTTCCTCTTTCTCCTCTTCTTCCCTTCCTCTTCCATCTTCTCCTCTTTTTGGTATCATGTAGCACAGGCTGGCCCTGAACTGCTATGTACCCTAGGATGACCTTGGACTCCTAATCCTCCTGCATCCACCTCCCGGGTGCTGGAAATGTAGCTTTGTACCATCACATTGGCGTATTTAAATGAGTTTTAATATTCTATGTAAGTATAACTATGTAAGAGCTATCTTTTGGTGACAGGTAACTTCACTTAGCATAATGTCCTAGAGGTCTATGCCATGGCATATCAGAACTTCTGTTCTTCTTATAGCAGAATAATACTCCATCCACGTTTGATTTTTCTGTTCATCTAGCAAGGGGAATTAGGGTTGCTTTTACTCTTGGCTGTTGTAACCAGTGCTGCTGTAGAAATGGCTGCTCATTTTCGCAGATTATTTTAAATTATTTTCATGTTTATCTTCATATGCCCAAAGCAATATAAACATTACCATTTTTAATTGACAGTTACTCCATGCCAGAGTCTGTGCCAGATGCGCCATACAGATAACTTTCACGTTTGCTTTTTTTATAGTACCCTATTTTACAATTAATGGATAGAGGCAAAGAGTGAGGTATTAGTCAGAATCGTGTATAAAGACTAGTAAGTCTTAAAGATAAGGTGCTGCCTGGGCCCTGTGCATACATTCTGACATCTAGAACCAGGAGCTTTTGTCTTAGATGTGTTGACTATCCAATAGCCTCTAGTTCTCACAGTGAATGCTCAGTAGGAAGCTGCAGCTAACACGAGAAGCTCCCTGTAAATAAGACCTTCCAGTCAGTTTGTTTTAGAAATGAGGTCTTGCTAAGCTGTCCATGCTGACCCCAACTTTCTGGGTTCAAATACTCCTCCTGCATCAGCTGCCCAGGTACTGGCACTATAGGCATGTATCCCCAGACGCAGCTAAGAGCTTCTCCTTTTGGCAGAATAGTGCAGTGTACATAAGCAAGCATGCCAAGGTCTGTAACAGCCTCCTCAGCTCCATGCTGGCAGAACAGCCAACACATCTGGATGGAATGCAGCCTGCAGTCCAGCCCCCATCCAAACACACTCTGTGACTTACCCTGTACTCTTACTTACCCAGTGGTTGCTGAAGTTCCTGGTAAGGATGGCAGGAGCAAAGGAACGGGCCGGATTCATCCCCGCACCAGTGTAATACATCTGCAAGAGACACACACAGTTGCAACTGAGACACCCCATCCGACCCTTCCAGCTTCTCTTCTTTATAGCCCCTGTGGCCAGCAAGAGCTGCTGTCTTGTCTCCAGCCAGCAGCAAATGGGGCAATACCAGCTTCACACATCTCCAGGGTAGAGAGTAACACTGATATTCCATCTAGGGACAGACTCATGGACCCAGAAGAACAGTTCTTACCCAGATGTGTAACTCTCCATCCCAAAGTCAAGAGGGATTAGATAGAGTAGTTATAGGAACGATATTCCTTTGTGCCAACAAAGGGGTACTGAAAAGGGGTATATAATACTTAAGCATGCCGGGCTGTGGTGGCACATGCCTTTAATCCCAGCACTTGGGAGGCAGAGGCAGGTGGATTTCTGAGTTCGAGGCCAGCCTGGTCTACAGAGTGAGTTCCAGGATAGCCAGGGCTACACAGAGAAACCCTGTCTCGAAAAACCAAAAAAACAAACAAAACAAAACAAAAAACCTTAAGCATAAAGGTGGGGGTGGGAAAGAAAGAACCCTTATAAGTTGGTAATACTTTGGGGTCCCTAGAATCCTTGAATAAGAAGTTTCCCACCTCTCTTGCTTACCCCAAAGAGGTGCCCCAGTGTGAGGGAGAAGCCCACAGCCAGGGCCACCGAGCCCATGCGGCCATTCCTCCTCTCGTCATATGTAGCAAAGATGCAGAGAACGAACTGGAGCGTCAGGAAGATCTCCACAGTGGTGGCCTGGCCCACGCTTACCCCAGCATGCAGCTGGCCAAAGGAAATAAAACCGGAGGCAACTGTTAGCACTGCTGTGCTATACCCACTTCAAGCAGTTCCGTTCCCAGGAGAGGATGGATGCATAGCCCCTCCTGAGTCAGTGTTTCTATCCTAACAGCGCTTCTTCATTGTAGAAATGGTTGCACTTACTCACATGGGAGGAGAAACTGAGACTTTATAAAGTAAAGCAAATCTAAAAACCTGGCCCAGCAGTGGTGGCAGACGCCTTAAATCCCAGAATTCGAGAGGCAGAGGCAGGCAGATCTCTGAGTTTGAAGTCAGTATGGTCTACAGAGCTTCCAGGACAGCTAGGGCTACACAGAGAAACCCTATCTTAAGGGGACAGAGGAGAAGAAAGAAAGAAAAGAAAGGAAGAAAGAAAGAGAGAAAGAAAGAAAACCTGAAGAGTGAGCTGGGTATGCAGCTCACTTGACATGACTTGTCTCCTAGCATGCACGAGGCCCTGGTTCCATTCCCAGCACTACATAAACTGGATATGTTTGGATGTACCTTGTAATGTTAGCACTTGGAGAGGGTAGAGGCAGGAGGACTCTTTGGGTACATAGGAAGGCCAGGACTATAGTTCCCCCACCCCCAGCAACAAAAGTTAGAAGGAAAAGGGGCTCAGAACTCAACTTTCTGGATTCTCCATGGAGGGCTCTATGCTTTCCTTTCCCCTCCAAAGCACTTACAGCTCACACACAGACACTCACATACACAAGCATATGTTCATACATGAGCAAGCATGTCAGGACACTGTGTTCCCCCGACCCTTGGCCAGCCCTTACCGTGTTGAGTGCTAGGTTTCCTCGGACAGCTGGTGGGGTGACGCTGTACAGCACGGCCGCTCCAGCCACGGCCCCCAGAAGCTGGGCTGCTATGTAGCAGAAAGCACGGAGCAAGGACATCTGGGAGCCCACAAGGAAGGCAAAAGTGACCGCAGGGTTGACGTGGGCTCCACTGATGTGACCCACAGTCTGCACCAGTGTAGCCAGGGCCAGGCCAAAGGCCAAAGCCACTTGCAGGACATGTAGGGGTCCGGGGGCCCAACGTAGCGAGGCTCCCAACCCAAAGAAGACATAGAAGAGGGTGGCAAAGAACTCAGCAAATATGGCCCTCCAAAAGGAGGCAGACCGAAGTTCCCACATGGCTGTGGGGGTGAACACAGTGGCAGGGTCCCTAATAACCCCCTAGACCTGCCTGGGTCGACAGTCCCCTTTATAGAGGACTCTTAATCCCTGGGAGGGGCAGGTTGAGGTAATTGGCTCTGCCTCTTAACCCCTTCACAGCCGTGGAGGTCTGAATCCAGCTTCTGATAAAGAGGCTGGATTCCCTTTCTCTACTCAGCAGGGGGAGGGGCGGAGATGAGACAAGGAGCCTGGAGCCAGAAGTATGGGGTCCATGGATGGAGAACTGGAACACTTTGTCTGTATCAAAGCTGAGGTTCATAGTACAGTCCTGACTGACACCTGGTTTAGAACATTCCTCAAATTTCTTGGAAGGTAGTCAGGTCGAGTTCACTTCCTCTGATATAGGCTAGGCTCACTCATGGGGGTCTCTGGCTCCTTTGAGTCTATCGGGGGTTAAGGGTGGGGGAGGGGGTAAGGAGTGGGGTACAGCAGGGGAATTGAATAACTGAAGAGAATTCTTTAGTTCCCTGGGATTAGGGGGCCTTCTCCCATTGGCTGATTTGGACTGGAATCTGTGGACCCTGCAGCTCTGGAACAGAATAGTTCTGCTGTGTCTGGCTTTCTCAGAGCCCTGGGTTCCCTACCCACTGCCCATGCCAGCACCTCCCTTTCCAAACCATCGGCCTGCCCTTTTAAACCAGAGAGAGAGAGAGAGAGAGAGAGAGAGAGAGAGAGAGAGAGAGAGAGAGAGA